CAAGCGCCTGCTTGCCTTGGTGCGTTCAACAAGCCAACATGTAGCTGATTTGCTCAATAAAAGAAACGAAACCCAGACCGCGATGTCCCGCTCCGAGTGCGAACGCGAGGCGTGCGATGCGGCAGCGGACCTGGTGCTGTCCGCCAGCCTTCCGCGACTTGTGAGAATGGGGACTGAGCCGAGTGCTGGACTCGGACAAGATGCGGAAGCTGTTGGACTACAACAGCATCGGATGCAAGCAAGCTCTGGAGGAGCCTGTGGAGCCGGATCCCGCAGCAATGCTTGGAGAAGCGCCTGGCTGAGTGGATGGGTCGCTGGCAGAACGCCCCGGCCACTCCAATTGCGAAGCCTCAGTCTCCGCGCCAGCCCATCCACCTGAACTTGAAGAGATTAACCGAGTCAGAGCGGCGCGTAGACGTGACATGTAGGTTTGATGGAAATTGGCGGCGTCCTGTTTGGGGTCCCCTTCTTTTGGGTTTTCTTGTTTGTGGGGCGGGCTGGTTCCTTTTGGTGTTTGGGGGTTTTTGTCTCGCTAACCTGCTACGGCGAGGGGTTTGAGCTGCGGCGATGACCGCGAAGGCAAAAGAGGAAAAAGTGGAGCTGGCAAACAGCTGCGCTGCGGGGCTTGTGGAGCTGCGGGCTATCAGCGTAGTCGTCCAGGATAATCAGCACCTGGTACAGTTTCTTCATCTCCAACTTCTTGGACGTCTTGGTAATCTTGCTGCCTCTGGATGATGCTCCGCAGCTCCGCAGCGCCGCCTCGTCCCACTGCTTGATGTACTTCTTGACTGGGATCCAGCCGTCGTCACTGTTGATGGAAGGGCTGAAGATGTAGGTTTTCTCAAAGACCGCGATACTGCTCCAGAATCATGCTGATCAGCGCCACGGTCTTGCCCGATTTCAACGGTCCGAGGACGAGGAAGATGCCGGTGCGCGGCACCAGGGGCACCACGAGGTTCGAGGGCTGCTTGCTGGTGTACTCGGTCGTGGGGAAGAGCTTGATCTTCCCCTTTTGCGTTACTTCCCGGTTCGAAGACGGGAAGCCGGGCAGCGAGTCTGGGAGACAGTAGCGCGTCGCACCCAGAGTTTTCTGGGAGACATGTCCCCCTGGCCGACCGCACGCATCTGCAGTACTTTCATAGCAAGTCGTGGCTGGCTCCGCGTCTGGCCTTGCTGCTGGGCAACATCTCGGTGCTGCGCTCGCCCTACCTCGCCCTACCTTGTCCGGAGGCGCCCGGGCCTGGAGGTGCGTGGTGCCGACGCCTTTGAGCCCGTCGCAAACCTGCACCGCTGCTACTTGAGACGGGGCCCGGTCTTCCTGCGCTCCCTGCTGCGCCTGGTGGGGCACAAGGTGGACAGGCGCTTCTACTTCAAGCGCCTCCTGCCGGGCGCTCTGAGAGGGTGTGCCGGGCGTCGGGCGGCCTGCTCGTACGCCCTGCTGCGCAACAGCTTCTCGGGAAAGTGGGGCTCCTTCGCGCGGCAGCAGCGGCCACTGGCGCTGAGCAGCGTGCGGCGTCTGCGTCGGCCGCCATCCCAACGTGGTCGTGCGGCGCCAGGACGCGCTGGCCTATCTGCGCACTCTGCCCTGCCTACATCTTCCCCGGTCGCGCCATGAACTACTATGGCACGAAGGGCGGGCGCGACCTGGCCTTCCACTCGGAGCTCCGAGACGCACTCTTTGCGAGCGGCCTGCCCTTCGTCGTGAGCATCAACGACGTGGCGGAGGCCCGGGAGCTCCACAGCAGGGCCGACTCCATCACGAGCCTGAGCTCGGGCAAGAACAGTTCCAAGCCCAAGCTGTTGGTGCTGCATCGGCAATCCTGCCAGCGCAGGATTGACGGGGGCAATCCTGTTGCCTGCGCAGGATTGATGGGGGCAATCCTGTGCCCAGCGCAGGATTCATGGCAAGGCGAGTGAAAACCACTCCGACAGCGATCGAGAACGAAATCATTGACTGAACTCCGGCGCTGGGCTTTTCGGGCTGAAAACCAAAACTCTGTCAGTGATGCTGTTCATGCAGCCGCATTAGGCCCGCACTTGGCCCGCGCCCGGCCCGCACCCGGCCCGCACCCGGCCCGCGCCCGGCCGCGCTACGGGCGATTCGCTGATGTTCTGAAAGTTCTGGACGAGCATTCTGCAGTGTACGAAAATGTCGCACACTGCCAGGTTGGTTAGCGGGAAGTCAGCTAGCGATAGTGGCCCGCGCCTGGCCCGCGCCCGGCCCGCGCACCCGGCCCGCGCGCGGCCCGCACCCGGTCCGCGCCCGGCCCGCATTATATGCCTCCCTGCTTTTTCCACCCAAAAGCGCCGGTGATGAGGTCTCTGCGATTTGCAGCATTCCGGGGCTCGAATCCCGGCGGTGACATACCGGTGACGCCGACGCATGCCGAAAAACCGTGCCGAAACCCTGCAAGCGGTGACAAGCGGTGACAAACGGTGACAAGCTCGGCGGGCTGCTTTTTCCACCCCAAAAGAAGCTCCCTTGGCTCAGTGGTTAAGCGCTGTCTGAAACCCGATGACCGAGCTTGCCCATTAATGAACCATTATTGTTTCAAGCCGATTCAACTTTGATTCAATATTGCCAAGATTTTGAACCCACAATGCCCTCCTTTTTGTTGACAACCTCCTGTGCGCACTCCTCCGCGAAAGTGCCCCAAAAAATGTTCGCACTGGTTGTGCTCTTCTTCTGTGCTATCGCAGCACCAATGTCCTGGAAAAAAGCACAGTTCCAGTCCAACCTTGTGTGGTGTGGTTGGGATATCAATTTCTCCACGATTCTATACAGCTCATGTCAGGCAAGCTGGCCAAACTCGCAGGCAGGCTTAGTTGAGACGCCACTGTCACAAAAGCAAGTGCTCAGAAAAACGTTTGAGCAGTGCATTGGCCTGCTCATCTGGGCCTCCCGGTTCAATGCACTCCATACCATCTCAGACGTGGTCAAGCCTGCTTGAGTCGTGACCTCAAAACCCAACTTAGCCTGCCAGGCCTTTGGATGGCAGAAGGATCCAAGCTCTTAGAGGTCAATGGCCAGTCAGTGCATTGTGTGCAGGATGTGACGCCCATCCTCAGCACCAGCAAACCCACGCGGGTTAGGATCTCAGACCCGTCAAACCCATATACTAGCCTTTCCAAGTTCAGCCATCGCTGTCTGGCCTGGCTTGGATCCTGCTTCCAGCGCTCGCCCGTCCGCTTGGTTTGCAGAAACATGGAACATGAGCGAGGTCAGATCCGCGTGGCCTTGCCTTACCAAGTCTGCCCAGCGCTACATTGCTTGCTTTGAGACCCTAGCCCAGTTAGCACTGCTGCAGGCCACGCACTTGCGCGTCGGAGGGAGTCACTACTCCTTCAGCTTGCCGTCCGGCACGGACAACTCTGCCACCGAAGCAGGCATCAACAAGCTTTTCAGCACTTCTTGACCTTTGCAATTGTTTCTACAATTAGTGGCAACCTGGACACAACGTGCGCTTGCAGCCCACACACGTTCCTGGCCGTCTGAACGACTGCAGACGAGGACGCCTTCACCGTTTCATAAACCGCCCCACAGACCGCGTGCGCTTCAGCGCTCGCAGCCTTGCTCAAGCTGGAAGGGGGCTCACTCTGTGCCCCATCGATGCGCCTTGCGGCCAGAACACCTGGCTGCCGCCTCAAAGAGTTTGTCACCAAACTCAGCGTGCTAAAAGAGCGGATTTGAGCATGCAACCATGATGTGCGCATTCGCCCTGTCAGGCGCAACCCCGCTGTGTTGGGGGGGTTTGGTCGGCTACTCAGCTGGCTCAGCTCTTTCCGGGGTTGCTTGGAAACACTGAAGAGGAACGCTTCCTCCTGCTCCAGGTGCGCCGCGTGCCCTGGAGGCAGTGCTACTTTCAAGCAACCTGTGAGAAAGAAGTGCGCGCCTTTTAGATTTGCAGGGTTCTTTGATGTGAGGGTTGTTTGGGTTCAAGCTGGGAGCAGTGCAACAGGCCTGAACGCTTTGGGTTTTCTTTTCCCTTGTGTTTAGGGCCTGTTGTGAATCTCGTACGCGGTGGCCATTTTGCTCCTAGCCTTGAGCTCAAACCGTTTGTTTCGATTGAAACCCACCCTCCCACCCTACTTGGCCTTTCACAAGGCTGGCTCGAGGCTGCAGACGCTCTGCACCTCAAGCCCAGGCTTGGGCACGCCTGCCCTCGCTTTGCCCAGGGCTGTACCCGGTACTCCCTCAGCGTGGGCACGCTTGCCACGCTGTGTGCTTGCGCTGCAAAAGCCAGGACACGCCTGTCTGGCGCCTTTCAAGTTTCACAAGGGGGACAATGCTTCCTCCTGCTCCAGGTGCACCGCGTGCCCTAGGCAGCGCTACTTTCAAGCAACCCGTGAGAAAGAAGTGCGCGCCTTTGATGTGAGGGTTGTTTGGGTTCAAGCTAGGAGCAGTGCAACAGGTCTTAACACAAATGGTGTTGCGGGAAAAAGGGTGCGGCAGACTTGCTCTTGCTCTGGCATTGAAACTTAATACTTGGACCATTCTTTACCGGTTGGGGATCATTCGACAAGCTGCGTGTGCAGTTTTGGAACTTGGAACAACAACATGGCGAATTGCTTCGTTCGAGCTCCTCAAACATGAGTAATGGAATGCGCTTGATATGCAGTTTCCGGACAGTGTGATCCACCTGCATCCACAATGTGCAACTTTTCTATGTGGTTTCAGCATGTCGCATGTTCTGATAAAATAATTTTTGGAATCCGTCATCATTTTTGATTTCAGTGTCGCGTGGCCCAAACTCGCCTTGCACAGCGCAGTTTGCAGTGTTAACATGCAAAAGGTAAATATATATATATATATATGTATATATCTATACACATACAGATCTCTTTCGATATATACTTGCTCCCAGTAAAACATGACAACCGCAACATAAATGTGGGTTCCATTTTAACTTTTTGTTTGTTCGTTAAAACCAGGAAAACCGCACGCGCCGAGAACTTCACCGACCAATTTCCGTCGGCCGGTCGCTGGCCATATTGGAGCCATGCTGTTTGTGCATGGCCAATGGAGTGCGAGGCGCGGTCAAGTGTTGTAGGGTTCCTACCCTTGCCCCAAACCTACCCTTGCCCCAAAAGACCTTGCCAAGCTGAGGGGTTTGAACCAGGGCAAGGGAAACCCAAGTCAGATTTGAATGAGGCCTTCGGGCCCGCCAAGCGGGAGGGTTTTGCCGCTCGGAATTCGGGTGGTCTGAAGTAGTCACAAGGAATTGAACCTGTCAGTTTTGAGCCCCGATTCGCAGGCCGGGCGCGGTGCGATCAGCGCCTTCGGCGGTTTCGGAGCGGGCCAGCCCGGTCAGCCCGGGGCCCTATGGTTTTTTCAGCCGAAAGCCATGTCTTTGCAGATAGAGTCTGGGTGGAGCAGCTTTCAGTGAGGACGGAGCGTGGCAGTGTTTTTTTTTCTCCCCGCACGATGGGATTGCTTGATTTTTTTTGGGTTCCTTTTCCATAGCAGGAGGGGTGGCTTTCACAGTGCTAAGATTGTTTTTTCCACTTCCCCCAAACCATCCCGAGTGGTGAAACGGGATACGTATTCAACCAATATACCCTAATGTTGACCCCGGATTAATCAACCCCTGCTTCTTAATATGGTGCTCCCCTCCACAAGTGATGAATCCCCACCAAAACCAGGGACACCCCCATATTAGTAAACAGGGGTTTATGAATCCGGGGTCAACATTAAACCGTAAACGGGATATCTATTCAGCCAATATGTTATTCTCCGTATATCGGGGAAAACATTTTGGAACAGCGCAGTGACGCAGGGGTTGGCATCAGGGACTGAAGTTGTTTCCATTGGGGAAAGGTTGTTTTTACAACCCTTTTGGCCCCTTTGGAAAGGACACCAACAACAGCCTTGTTGTTCCATGGAATTGGGGGGCCATAGCGCTATAGAACCAAGAATCCAGCTCCATCCATGTTCAAGCAAACTCGCCCAAAAAAGAACCCACCAAGCTTTCTTCTGACAGACACCAGTGTGACTGCAAGGCACTGAAGGCGATCCTTTGCTGTGGAGTTGGCCGGCAAAAGGACGTCGACCATTTGAGCGGAGCCATGAATAGATGCGACGGCCTCTCCTGGGAAACCGGGCTTTGATGACTAAATTGTAGGGGCTCAGATTTGGTTGTTGGAAGCACCCAAGGAAGGCGAAGCCAACGCGAAAGGATCCCATTTGCTTGAACCGATAGGTCTCTTCATTTGAACCCGGGTAAGCCAAGGCTAACACCTTACCAGGTCTTGATTGTGACTCATAAGGGAGATCTCAAGAACCCGTGAGGTAACCCAACAAACAGAATAGGATTCTGCTTTTGATTCTTGGCCCTGCCCGGCTTTCAAGACAAGTCCACGCACACCCAGCTGAAGGCTGTTAAAGCCCTGGAAGATACCAGGGAGGTTCAAATAGATCTCATCTGGTTGGATTCCAGATGAAAAAACGATGCAATCCCCCAAACCTGGCTATTCCCATATCCTCAACAAAAAGAACTCGCAAGTGCGAGTGGACTCCTTACCCAAAATTTCTTTGTTAGATGGGCCTGGCAGAGCTCTGGCGTAAAGGGGACCCCTCACACACCCCCACCCCCCAAACACACCTCCTCCTTGAAAAAGACTGAAATCGACCTTTTTTGGAGGTGTGTTTGTGGGGATGGTGTGTTTGGGGGCACCTTGGAAAAGAACTGTTTCTTTTTGTTGAACCTGCCACTTGGGGTGGTGACTTTGATAGGAAAAGTAATGAGGCGCTCAAAGAGACCAGGCTGAGGCGTCATCAGTTTTTGCTCATTTTGAATCAAATCCAACTCGAGATTGTCACCGAATCGCCGAGGATCTTCGAGCAGTGCCGATGCATCCTTCGGTCGCTGCAATATTCCACTGGTGTCTGTGTGGGCCTTGGCGATTGAGCATGTAATATGTATCAAAGGCGGGGCCCCTAACATATTTTTCCCGGGCGGGACGACTTGAAATGTTTGGAGCCTGGCAAAATGATATCTAGTTTCATCCTTTCCCTCGCGTGTGTGAAGTGTTTGAAAGTTCAAGTCTATTTGGAATTCGGAAATCTATTCCCGTGGGAACACTTGGGATGGGACTTCTTCAGGATCCGGGTTGTCCTTTCAAGACTTCCTCGGAATAGCACCGATGGTCGCAAGTTCCAATCTTTTTTGGATCTCAAAAGCGGCGACACCGGAAACAACTACGAAGCATAACAGAAATGCAAAGAGCCTGGCTGAATCCAAGTGCTCAAAGCTCTCTAGCACCTAGCAACCGATTCGGTCCCCCGTGGAAGTAAATTTGGACAAAAACGATGGCAGTCTTATTTATTTTGTCCATTTTAGGGAATCCGGGAAGGGGATTTTTTCTTTTAGATGTCCTGGCTTGCCACAAGGAAAGGGCAAGACAGGTTGACCTTTGAGCCTTGGAAAGGCGCTCAAGCAGTTGCCATTTGTGTGTTCCCATTCAGAAACCAAAGCGCGAACAATGAATGGGATTGGTGCGACTTCTAGCTGCATCTGCAGCTTCTGATAAGATCACCCGTTCGACCTGTACAGCTGCCGATGTAGGCGAGCTGAGGAATGAGGCGTTAGGCGTCGGTTTCCACTTCTGTGACACCGCAAGAGTTAGCCATCGTGCGAGGCGTGTTTCAGTAGTTTCACGGAGCGGATTTCAGATGCCGCAACTCCCGCTTTGGCTGTTTGCCAGCAAATCAGCGCATTTCGCCTTCTAACGCTGAAATTCAAAGGAATAGGGGTTGTGAAAGGAAAAAGGACTCGCTTTTCAAAGTTGCTTGAAGGGCAACCATAGCCACCACCAAAGCCACTGTTCGTGCGAACCCCGGCCTCGTCTTGCCTCAGGCTGCTAGTTGTCTTCTCCTTTCTGCTGTGACACGCCGGGTGTAGGCCTCAGCCTTTTAGTTTTCGTTGATCCATCCTGACACGTGTGTGAAGACAAGCAGTGTGTAATTATCATTAGGGACCCCCAAATGGCGGTCTTCCTGTTTGGTTGTTTTCAGAATCAACATCAATCATAACTTCTTGTGGCTTGTTTCGTCCACTCGGCTAGCACAGAGCTTTTCGTGTACCGTGCTTGTGGTCACAACTGGCAAATTTGCTGCGAGCCTCGTAGGAATCTAAAAGGAAGTTTGTACCTCGTTCACCCCGTTTGGCTTCTCGGATAGGCTAGATGGGCGGATATGGTATGAACATCAGCAAGCATTGAATCGGGTCATTTACCCAGGACGTAAAGGAGGAGTGCGCATACGGGCAATATTCACTACCTGTACTGTACGTGGGATGATGTTGGGCACATCCAAATTTCCACTAGGAAAAGGTACTCGTCAAATTGCGATGATAGTTGGGATTCTCTTTCGCCAAAATGCAGTTTCTGTTTGCCGGGTTGTTGGAGCGATTTGCGGAAAGCGTGATTCCACTGTTTGTGCTCAGGCCGTCAGCACAGAGAAGAAACCGCCCAACGCGCGGAGCTTAGCTTTCTGGTGCTGTTGCCGGTTCATTCTCGCAAATGGATGCTGAGGTAGATGTTGATCACGAAGCGAAGGAAAGGACACCCTATAATTTGGAGTATGAGTGGTTTGTGGTTGATGTTCTTTGTATTTTGTCGTGATTTGTGGTTGGTTTGATTCCAAAATGTTGTCAAACAACCCATGCATGTTTTCAAATTCCTTTTTGGTAACTCAGTTGAAATTTCACCTTTGCTCGATCCGAATCCTTGCAAGCATCCGCTAAGGCGGACGAAAAAAACATTGTTTCCCATGGTCACTACTTAATTAAGTCTGATGGTATCCCAACCCCACGCCTTCATTGCTCCGACCCCTGTATTATAGTCCCAACCAGAAATAATTAAATTGCTGTCTGCTTTTGCAGGCTTCCGTTCCTTGCTTTTTTTTCTTTCCCGAAAGCATCGCAAAGGGTTCTTCCGTGCGGAGCCCTTGGACCAAGTCGCACAGAGCCAAGTCGCAAGTTGCACAGAGTCAAGTTGCGCAAAGTTGCGCAGAGCCAAGTTGCGCAGAGCCAAGTGGCACAGAGCCAAGTGGCACAGAGCCAGTTGCGAGAGCCAAGTTGCACAGAGCCAAGTGACACAGAGCCAAGTTGCACAGAGCCAAGTCGCACACAGCTGAGTCACACAGAGCCAAGACTCTTCGCAATATTTAAGTACGAAGCGAAAGTAGTACGCGAAGTAAACTTCCGCAGCTCCGGCTCGAAAATCGCAACTTTTGAGCGCGGAGTACACTTTTCGCAGCTGCGGCTGGAAAATCGCAACGTCCAAGCACGAAAGTAGAGGAAACTTGTTCAGAGCAACTTGCCGGGAGAACTTGCTTGGAGAACTTGCTGAGAGAAACTCGGGCCAACAACTTGCTCAGAGCAACTTGCTGAGAGAACTTGCTTGGAGATCTTGCTCAGAGGAACTCGCGCCAACAACTTGCTCAGAGCAACTTGCGCAGAGAACTTGCTTGGAGAACTTGCTCACAGGAACTCGCGCCAGCAACTTGCTGAGCAACTTGCGCAGAGAACTTGCTTGCTTGGACGCGACGCTGCCCATTTGTGCAGACCGCCCGTTTTTAAGGTCTAACCTCCCGCCCCCCACAACAAAACTTTCAGTGCAACTGTTCCCGAGGCTCGGGGCACTGCCAAGCCTCTGCGGCGATCCACTGGGGCGGGGCTTTGGGAGGGGCAGGGGGAAGAGCTGTCCAGGCGGCGTGTTCTTTCCCTTGTTGTTTTGATCATCATTGGCACATTGTTGTTTCTATTTTAATGCCTTTCTCTTGAAGGGTGTTTGTTTGTTCTGTGGGCAGCTGGACGAATCTTCATCGGACCAAGTATAAATCGGGACAAAACGGGACAGGGCTGCAACAATGGCTTTAGATAGATAGGGTGGAGGGGAAGATGGGTTGGAGGGAGAGACGTAGATAGGCATAGATGTATAGATAGAAAGAAAGATAGAGAAACATGGATAGATAGAGATATAGATGGATAGACAGAAAGATAGCTAGGCAGTTAGATTCTTAGATCGACAGCCGGAGAGAACAAGAAAATGATGGATAGGTAGATAGATAGATAGAGAAAGAGAGAGAAAGGAAGAGCGATTGATAGATGGATAGACAAAGACCTTGATAGATAGAGAGAGATAGATAGACAAGTAGACAGATAGACAAGTAGACAAATAGATGCTTCGATAGATAGGCAGAGAAAGATAGAGAAACATAGGTAGATAGATAGGTAGATAGAGAAAATGAAGATGCAGATAGAGACACAGAAAGAAGGACGGAAAGAAGGGAGCAAAGAAGGAATGAAAGAAGGGAAGAAAGAGAGCATGACGGAGAAAAAGGGGAACAATGAAAAGGAAGAAGAGAAAAAGACTGAAGAAAAAGAACGAGACACATAAATATAGTTTCCATATTGTTGAAACCTCCGCCCACTGGCTTCGCCGGCTCTACCAGTATAGTTTCATGTAATGTACGTATGTAATGTGTGTAATGTATGTAATGTATGTAGTGTATGTCATGCATGTAATGTATGCAAGGTAATGTATTGTGCTGTACTGTATGCATGCATGTATGTATGTATGTATGTATGTATGTATGTATGTATGTATGTGTGTATGTATGTACGTGGTTGATGTAATGTAGTGTGATGTAATGTGGTTTAGTGGGACGCAGTGCAATATGCGGTTTGTATGCATGCTCGCACGTATATGCATGTGTGCGTGTGTGCGTGCGTGCCCGCGCGTTGCGCGTGCGTGTGTGCATGCCAGTGCTCGTGCGCGTGCGTGTATGCGTATGTATGTACGTGCGTTTCGTGGGTGTACGTGTGGGTGCGTGCGTGCGGGTGTGCGCTTGCGTGCGCGTGCGCATGTGCCCGTGTGTGTGTGTGTGCGGAGTGGCAGAAAACCCTGCCACCACGACAGTTTTCCGTAGCAGCAGGGGCAGGGGGGCGATGGTTCCTTTGGTGTGCATCGCCCAACGAAGACCGCACCATTGGATCGTGAAATCAGTCCAGGACGCTGGACTGACGTACCTGCCGTGATGCAACGTCCTTTTGGCCCCCTTGGTTGCGGCGCTGTTTGTGCTTCTTGTTCTTTCGGGTAACGTTTTCGACACTAGAGTGAAACCGAGTGTATTGCAAGCCGAATCCCACCCACTCGAGACTCATCAGTTGTACTCGAGACTCATCAGTTGTACTCGAAAGATTAGCACTCTCCATCTGGAGTTTAAGTGTGTACACCCCATTCGTGGGGAATCCTCGGGTGTACCCATTGTGTGACCCCGGGCCGGCTCTGTCGGAAAATTTGACCTCAACGTGCGTATCATAGAACAGCGGAATTTCACATTTAACCAGGAACGAGGTTTCACTAAAGGGAAGAAAGCCGTCAGATCATAGCGACGTCTCACCACAGTTGGTAGCTGACGATTTTCATTGCATACTTTGATCATTGGTTGAACTTGTTGTTCGTATCACTGCGGTTGTCGATTGCTGACTTGTATTTGCTTTGCCTTGTACATTTCGCTCGACCATTGCAGTTGAGGGCCGCGAACTTGCATTTCCATTGCTTTGCATGTTGTCGGGTCTGATTCTCTCAAGGTGGAAGTGCGCAAATTCGGATTCAGTTGCGTCACCATGTCTCGGCGTGATGATCGTGATAGATCCAGGACTCGACGCAGACGTGATCGGAGTCCGTCCCCTCAAGCTCACAAAGCACGCCGACGTGAGCACAATGACAACCAGGCCTCGGAGAACATGGATTGGAACAACTTGGCTTCATGGCAACACAACTCCGGCTACAACGCTGCTAACAACTTTCCGATGGTGCCTACCAATTTTCAATCGACTCACAATCCCACACAGCAATTCCAATACCCGGCGATCAACTACATGATGCCGATTCCTCCTGATCCCACGCCATCCAAGTTCATGCCACCAGTGATGCCACCACCGATCGCTACTTCCCAACCCACACCTTCACCTGGACCTCCTGCAGCTCTACCGGCTCGTCCTCAGAAAGCCTGACTTACTCCTTCGCCTGACTGGACACCTGGAGACGGCATGTTTGATGTCAACCAACTCTACAACTTCAGCCTGCCCATGACTGTTGCCAACACTCCACATGGCAACCTTCGCGACATGTCAGGCATGGATATTAGAGACGTACGCCTGGTTCAGGTTATCCACGGGGGCCTCACCAACTGGCTACTCAGGCCGTTTGCACACGGCCGATTCGTGACGTGGGAAGGATTTCGCACCCGCACTGAGGCCTTACTTTGGAGTACCTGCTCCAAATTACTACGAAGATCGCAGTCACTCAACCTGCTCACCCTGGAAAAGGACCTTGCCAACACGCTGGGTCTCAACATTGATGACTTCAATCAGCGCATCAAGGTCCACGACCATTTGGCCAACCTGGTACTTCAATTTCTTCAACAACATCACACCTCTCTCGCACCTGCCGCCCAGACCGATGACATGGTCAAGAAGTTCAATGATTTGAATCGTGCACATGAACTTCTCCAAGCTCAGTATTCTGCATCACTTCGCGCATCGACCTCGCCCACGATGACAAACCAGAAAGATGATGCAGAGTTGGTTACACCGCCACCGGTCAACCACACACCATCCTCTTCACCTGCCAGCTCCCTTCCCACAGCCAGCGCTGCCGCCCTGGATGGCAAGTCGTTTGATAGCGTGGTGCAACCTCGGATCATGCAGTCTCTTCACGGAGTGTCGTCACCGCCGTCCAAACCGGCGGCGTCACAATTGCTCACCATGCACAGCACGCCGGATGAAGTTGTCAAGTACTACACATGGACCAGTGACCAACCTCGCCTTTTCCTCAAGCAAGCACCCACCACAACCACTTTGGCATCGCTGGTTAAGTGGGCCAATCACCCGTCCCGGCTCAACGGCAACAAGTCATTAGATTCCATGGCGGCGCAGCTTCTTCAGGCCAGGCAACGCATGCCGAAGGGCGATGCGCCCACACTCGGTGCAATGGCAGCATCATGGGGTCTTGAACCCGGGTACCTCACCAAACTCACTGAGAAGGCATTGAGTCACCTCATCGTGACCGCTCGCCTGCTCTGTGGATGAGAAGGCATCATGACGACCTTCGTTCTCATATGAGCCCGGAGCGGCAACAATGTCACGGATGAGTCCAGGTGAAAACTCGTCCGTCAAGTGTTTGCGTTGCACATGATTGATCTTGTACTTGCTTGTTCTTGCATTGCCTCTTGTGTGATTGTCTGTGATGCTTGTATTCATGTCGCCGCCTTGTGGTAGATTCCGTTGGTTGCATCTCACCATGTTGGATGAACTTCGCCACTGCGGAATCTATGATGATGTTGCACAATGGCAGTCGCTGGAAGACCTTCTGCACTCGTTGACCATATTCTCGACGTGCTGGCATTACTGCTTCCCTGGACTACCACCACCGTCGATTCCAATTGAGGAGTACGAATCCATCACACAATTGCCGTGGCTGGGTCTCATCATCGAGGTCTTAGTTGTGGTCCGGATCGCCCTCCAGATTCCGAATTGCGCTATGTCCAGCTCTCAGCACACCGTGGCCAACAGGTACGAAATTCACAGATGTCGGTGCGCTGCATATTTATTGATCAGTTTCTTACAACGTCTCATTTCGCAGGATCACGGCTACTTCCCGCCGTTCTTCGAAGTCCTTCACTTCTACAAGACTTCTCTCTTGTGTGAAATCATGCACTCAACTTTTGCTGACACGCGACATCTACGCTCATTGCGGGCACGATTTCCTGACCTCTACGACTTCATACATGATCCAGGTCATCACCAACAACCATGCGTCTACATTCGACTTTCCCCATGGCACACACCGTACTATGTTGGGGCGACTGATCAGGATGTTCTACGGCGTGAACACTCGCGCAGTCGCAAATTTCTACAACTAATTCGTGGACGGCATGCCTTCTTTGAACCGGCGCTTCACTACTGGAAACGGTCCAATAATTACTGGCTCTTCTGTGCTGTACCAGTGGAAATCAAACTTCCAGTTTCCTCGGTGTGGGTTCAAGAAAGCAAATGGCAATACCTGCTACGCCCGCATTTGAATGCGCCGTGGGTACACAGAATCTTGCGCAAGGTGGGCTTCCGGGAACATCTTGTAGATTTTCGTCGCCACTCGTTGTCGTCTCCCACTTCCCTCGGCTTGCACAAGCGCTTTCGACGACGACTACATCCGGATCTCCAACGGCAACTACGACCTGACACCCTGGATGACATTCAAGCTCACTACTCGCTCCTCTATCAGCTGGGATCGAATACAGGAGCGTCGTTCCAAGTCATGCGTGACCTACTGTCAGCCGCTTTCCCTCCCACTCAGTTGTACTACTTATTGCGGCTCGCAGTCTTTGTCAACGAGCCCTTCCGCTCCAAGGCCCAGAAGCTCCTCGCCCAGGTACTGCGCAAACGACGGCTACAACCACCTACCACTTTAACGCAGCTACTCTTGCCACCCCTGCATGTCCAGAATTGGAAAGCTCTACTGGGCACATGGTTACAAAGCTGGATTGCTTCTCATCGGGATCTGTTCCCGTCTCTTTTCATTCCAAAGATCCGGGTTGTGGAAACTCGCAGCGCCACATTGGGCGACAAGATATACAACTATCGCACATGGCAGCGCAAATGGGC